TTTTTGTTTGTTTTTTTAAGCTCACCTTTTAATTTTCTTCTCTATCTCGGCTGCATTCGCACCCTTCGCGTTTCTTTGCCGTACTGGAGCCATTCCACCTTAAAACATCTACTACGTAGCATTTAGAAACGCATACAGTCACACACGGCCGCAGTCTCTTGCCTTCTTCCACTAAACCATACCGCTCACCCCGCCAACAGCTTGTACAAGCTCCCGAAACTCTCTACTTCCTGCTTGCCCCGTATAATCCAATCCTATTGGCTCCGGGGAAGGGAAAGCCTTTTTTCTATTGGACCACGTTCGGGTCTCTTTGAGTTGCACTTACAGAGCATAGCTGCGAAAACATAGCTAGGCTACAGTGTAGGTAGCTCGGCTGTTATCATCATTTTGATAGTAAACAGTAAGAGAACGGGCTTACGCCACAATATTAAGAACACCAATAAAGGACATTTCATCTGTGATTAAAGTGTACAAGTGAGTGGGGCTCTGTGTATGCATGCAGAATGAGCTGTCCACCTTGGCCTAAAGGGAAGAAAGTGGTGCACCTGGACTTAAAAGGTGCTCCTCCACGAGTTGAATACCTGCACAGGGTAAGCTTCCACTCGGGTCTTGCTGCAACATGAACAGTATTTACAGCTCTGTCACTTTTTAGTTCCCCATGTGTGCTAACATCCTCAGCTGATCGAGCTCTTCTCTGAGCTGGGAGTGGATGGCCTGCTGGTGGAGTATGAGGATGTGTTTCCTTATGATGGGGAGCTGAAGCTGCTCCAGGCAACAGCACAACCTGCTTACAGGTGCAGTTTGGGGATCTAGTGCTTCTTAAATAGTTTTTTACTGTGTGTGGATTTTTAATCTCTTTTCATAATAAAAGAGCCTCTAATAAAATCACAACCCTCCCTGTGTTTGATAGAGATATTTTAAGTGCAGACTTGCTGTAGAAATGCTTTGGTTTATCACACTGTCTGATTTTTGCGTGCTGTACTTTCAGCCGAGATGAGGTGCTGTCTATGCAGGAATTCGCCAGATCCAAGGGGATGGAGGTGATCCCACTCGTGCAGACATTTGGTCACATGGAGGTGAGGTGTGTCGCATGTGGCTCAATTTTAAGATGGGAGTTCTGTGTCGCCCCTGCGCTCATCTCATCTCTGTCATAGTTTGTGTTAAAGCACAGATCCATGTGGCACCTAAGAGAGGTGGCACACTGCGTGGGAACCCTGAACCCCCACAGAGAGGAGGGGGTGAAGGTGGTGATGGAGATGCTGAGGCAGGTAGTGGAGTTGCATCCGGGGCTCAGCACGCTCCACATTGGAGCAGATGAGGTGAGGGGTCGGTCTTCAGGGGGAAACTAGTTGTTTTTGTATAACTGAATCTCTTACATTCGTCTTCGCGTCCTCAAGGTGTACATGCTGGGTGAGGGCGAGGAGTCCAAGTTGTGGCTGGCTTCACCTGGGCGTACAGTGGAGCAACTGTTCTTAAGTCATGTGACCAAGGTGGCCAGGGCTGTCAAGGAGGCGTGGCCTCATATGACCATCATAATGTGGGATGATATGATGAGAGGCATGAGCCTGGACACACTGAAAGGTGAGGCGATATTCAGGGTAGTTTGAAGTTCTTGTACGTGTACAGGTCTAAATACTGTCTAAAACCACTTTGCAATAAAGTTAGTACAAAAAAACATTTCAGACTCTTGTGCTAAAACTGTACAGTATAAATGATTTGTATTTATTTATGATAAAATATTCTTAATGACTGTTTTTTTTAATCCATATGGAAGCCAGTGGTTTAGTGGGACTCGTCCAGCCTATGTTGTGGGACTACACCCCAAACCTGGATGTGTCCCAAACTGGTAGGTAAAGTACACAGATGTACATTATCAAACAGTGCACTGCAAAACTATTGACTTCAGACTAATAATTCATCTTCTGTAGGTTTTCTTTTTGCTAGTACAGAATGTTTTCAAATGCAGAAGCTTTAAGAACTTGATATTAGTGAGGGGTAAAATGAACAGAGTCAATACAACCAAAAATTTGTGACCTAATGATGATTCAACATGTTATCTTAAATTGACTGAGCTTGTTTTGCTAATTTAAGTTGAAATTCTGAATGGCCATTTTTACATTTTAAAGACTTGGGAAAAATTCAACCTATATGTGCGCTTTATTCATTAAGTTACATTTGTAAGTAGAATAAACACTGAATATTCTCAAACTGTTTTTCAGTGTCTCTGCTGGAGAAGTACTGTAGTGCCGGTATGGCAGATCTTTGGGCAGCCAGCTCCTTTAAAGGCTCCACTAGTGTTTACACCTGTGTGACCAGCACGCAGAGACACCTGGATAATCACCTGCAGTGGCTGAAGGTGGCTGCTTCTTTGTCTCCTGCTGTAAATATAAAGGGTATTGCCATCACAGGCTGGCAAAGGTAAGAAGCAGAGGACGTTCTCCACGGAGTAAAAGGAAAATAAGATGTTTATGTGGGCCATTATTTACCCTTTATCAGGTATGACCATCTGTCAGTGCTGTGTGAGCTGATCCCAGTGGCTATTCCATCACTAGCAGTCTGTCTCCAGACTCTCCTTCACGGACAGTTCAGTGCTGAGGCCCAGAGCAAAGTAACCGGGAAGCTGGGGATCTCATCAGTGGAGGTGGAGACCATGGAGATGTGAGATGTAACACCGTTGTAATAAACAACACCATCACTGTATCTATGTATGCATCTCCAAGCTAACAGGATTTTATTCCCCACGGCTCTCAGGACATGTGTAGCTGACACAGTGTTCCCAGGAAGGAGGCTGGCTGAGTTAATCGTGGAGCTCAGTGCACTCCTCAATTCAGAAGATATAAGATTTTTTGAAAACAGCATGTAAGTTATGGGAAATGATCATAACATTTCATTTTAAATGGAATTGAATGCCAATTCAGACTCACGTCTGTAGACTAGCATCTACGATTTGTGCACAGTGTACCACTTTATTAAGGATATTTGTGTGCTGCGAACATGAACTAAAATTTAGTCAGTCATGTCGTTATTGAACAACAGTTAGTTTCAGTGAGATGTGGGAATGGATTAAGTCTTTAGACAGATTTTAAAACATTCTAAAAATGTTATTAAAAAATATTTATATGTGTAGCTACTTTGGCAATTACTACAAGAAAGCCAGATATGTTATATTTTTGGTATAGCGCACGGGCTACCTGTTAGCAGTGATGTAAGCTATGCTGCTAAGTTTCTAAAATGAAGTCTAAATATGAAGCCATCGTAAAACAAATTTCATTTTTACATTTTAGGTTTTGGACAATTAGCTTTAAAGGTTATACTACAATTTTTTCATTCTTTGTTTGATTTATTTATTTTTTTTACTTTAGTTAGAGCCCGCTTTTAGCTAACAAGCTAACATTAGCGCTATGTATAACTTAGAAATGTGAAGCTAACAGGTGCCAAATATATTTTTATTAGAGATTTGTCGAGAGTTATTTTTTTCCAGTGTAGAGATTTAACTGTATGCTTGTGTTTCTGCAGGTTTGTGAGAGGATGGTTCAGCCCATACCAGCGGCAGAGGAAAACTGTTACCCCGCTAATCACCATGCAGATTCACAACCAAGCATCCCTGTGAGCACACCTTCCTTATGTTTTACCAAAATGTGGAAAATTAAAAATACACAGAATATGCAGTCATAGTAAAAAGAAAGTACAGGATATATTTAAAAATCCTTAAAATTAGGCAACTAGAACCTCAATTAAACTATACGATATATGTGTCATGATATTTAACAAAAGCTAAGCCAAAATGAAGAAGCGGTGTGACCCTGTCTGGCCAACAAGCACTTTGTAATCCTACATGTATGCTGAGGTCAGAGCCAAGAGCGATTTTTCGTAGACTCTGTGCAGCTAATGGGATCGCTCCATGGTGACCAATGAGAAGAATTCAGGTTTAGGGCACTTCACAACAGCTTCACTTTTCAGACCCACAAGTTTGGAGCATCTTTTATGCTGTCAATAAACCATAGAGAGATCATTTCTGACATGATTTCGTGTGACAGTGGTAGCAACACACCTTTCTAGGTAACTAGTTACCAGAGCCAGTCTACAGAGAATGTCTTTATTTCCTGAAATTCTCAAAGGGATGCTCAGAAGATATGAAGTGACGCAATTCTAATGTCCTTATGATGCTCTTTTACCCATAAAATCTAACAGGACTGGCTTAATGGCACCAGTTTCCTGATAATAAATGCAACAGATGTTGGGAAAAACATGTACAAAAAGGAGCTTGCTGTGGTGCCAGATAGGCTTGAAGTCCTTAATGCAAGAACGAATATGTTTTACAGCAGTTACAGCTCTGTGAGAAAAACCTAGAGATGAAACTACATCTGCTTTACTGATATCTTCTTCAGAAACCACAAAGAAAACAGACAGAAAATTTGTTTTACCTCTACAAGTTACTTGTTTTTGGGCTATAGTTAAAAAGGCCCCCTGTAAGTAAGTGCTGCCATGAAACTCATATTTTGTGGTTCCATTTATATGTGCTAAGCATGTGCAGAATAGAACAGTCATTTAAATCATTTTAGCACTTAGCTCAGCCTGTGAGCTAGCATCGTGATAAGGCTTAACCTTAGTCTGTATGGCTTTAAACTCTCTTCCGGTCACGTTGCAGGTATTTGGCTACAATACAACAGAAGGTGGAGGCAGTGAGAGAGGAGATGGCCAGTCTCTACCCAGATTCAACAGTCCAGGAGTGGATAGAGGAACACGTCAGCCCTGTAACAGCTCCTCTTCAGAGGATAACAGAGGATCTTGCAGCCTGTTTGAAGGAGATGGTGCCATAGAATCCCTTTTCCGTCTTTGACATTGCTGATTAATTCACATAAAGCCTTCCTAATTTCTGCCACACACTGGCACTAAAGTTCAAAGGAGTGATTTTATATAGGGTTCTACGCTTATGTGAGAGTAAACTGCTATATGTAAATTGATCTACATGTAACAATGACAATAAAATCAAACCCTAGTTTTTAAAAAAAACAAAGTGTTTATTCCCTTAAAGCAGCACACATTTGAACTTGGAATGAGACAAAGTTTGACAAAAGCACAAAAGTCTTTTCCTGAGATTCAGTCTTTGGTTCACTTTAAAAAAAAAAACCCAACAACAACAACAGGTAAAGGTTACAAGATAGACAAGCATGACGTCAAAGCATTTGACACATAATTCACCCTTGACTAAGCTCAGAAGATCCTTCATGCTCAATTACAGTTTGCACATGCATTCATCTGGATTGTCTACTGGGTTCAAATAAACACGCAAAAAGACAATTATGAGCGGGGTGGTCCAGAAAACTGTGGGAAAAGCACTTTCCTGAGGCTCACATACACAAACACTCAAATTCAGTAGGAAGGCACGGGAAATCTGTAATCTGGAGTGTGCTCTCAAACAGTAATTAGCTCAAAGATGATGAAATAATACTCGCTTAAAGAAGACTCCACTTAGAATGTAACAAAAGGGAAATTAAAAAGGTCTGTTCCAAGATTTCCTAAATTGTGAACATTTGCAGGACAACATATAACTGAATGGTTGTATTACCAGTAAAAATACAAACAAGGAAGACTGTAAGGAAGGGGTTATTTTCCCTGCTGTTCCACATGCATGCACATGCTTAGAGTTTGCTATATATTAAGGGCCTTGCACAAACCTCACCCTCCGTAATGCCTCTGCATTGCTGCAATGCCCCTAACTAAATCTCCCTTACATTAGAGTAACACTACACTTCAGGCAGATCACAGCTTGTCTGCTTCATCTGAGTCGGTGCTATTGTCTAGAGAATCTTCATCCTCTGCGTCCCCGTACTCAGCCTCATACTCCTGCTGCCGACGTTTCTGCAGTTCCTCCAGTGCCAGGAAGCGCTTGAGCAGAGCAGCCACTGCCTCCACATCACTGAGGAGTAACCGGAGAGCAGAAAACAGATCCAAATAAATCCAAATATTAATACAGTGTATTCATAAATAAATGTTCATCTCAAATCGTAGTAATCAAAGTGTTGTGGTACTTTTTGTGCAGGGTATTATTAGCCATCACGTCTTGATAGCTAATTAGCATGCAACAACAATTCCTGTTAGCAATCTTAAAGTGAACACCAGAAAGCAAACAGTGTGTCTTTTCTGTCCTGTCTCCCACACCTCACCACCAACCGGCAGATGGCCGAGCCTGGTTCTGCTGCAGGTTTCTTTCTGTTAAAAGGGAGTTTTTCCTTCCCACTGTCGTCAAGTGCCTGCTCATAGGGGGTCACCTGATTGTTGGGGCTTTCTCAGTGTCATTATAGGGTCTTTACTTTAAAATATAAAGCGCCTTGAGGCGACCATTGTTGTGATTTGGCGCTGTAGAGATATAATTGATTTGAATTGATTTAAACGGTGAAGACAGGCGACTCATTTAATGTTTATATAACACTTGACACACACATTTACTTGATGGTTTCTTAGCTAAAATAATTAAAATCTAATAGAACTGTTTTGGAGTCAATTCTGTGTTCTTTGGTTTTTGTTTGAACTGTGTAAGAGAGCTATTAATTTATTTATTGATGAGGGCAGGCTGAATAACAAACATCTATCTGTAGAAGTCAGCACAGTTTAACAGCAGCATAAATTCTAGCCTCTAGACTGGCCGCAAAATAAATCAATGCAGGAAGAATCTCTTATACAGTTGTTGTGTTTTAGCTGCGAGCCCCTTAATAAACTGCTAGCTAATTATGTATTAACTGCAAGTTTTAATTTTATGGGCTTAATATACTGAAAATCTGAACATCAAACCTCTATTTTATCTTTCATCTAGCAACAACTTCATACTAAATCAGATCCTGTGCTGAACTGTCAACTACCGGTGACCTACCTGCGTCCCCCAAGCGTGGCACTCTGAGTGAGGGGGTAGGAGAAGCCTGCAGCCAGCTTCAGCATCAGCAGATAACCTTTTCCCAAATAACGCACCCTTTCCTCCTGTACGCAGATATCGCACAGCTGGTCCAGATCCAGCACAACTGGGAGATGGAGAGAAAAAACACAATGGTAAGATCCATTATTGTGGCCTCTTAGCTCACTAATGGAGCTGTAGTGACCAACCCGCTCTGTGGTTTTACTCACCTTTTTCTTGGCCCTTCCTCCACAGAGTCAGGACTAAAGTGTATAAACTGAAGGTCTTAAGCTCAATCAGATTCTTGGTTTTATCAAACACAGCCTCCTCCCATTCCTCCATGTTCTGCATGGCCACAAACAGACAGCCGGCCACGTAGAAGAGCTTCCACGGGATGCTGTCTGCGGGATCGACGCAACACAAGGAAAGAAAAGAAAGCTGTACTCAAGTGTTGGAAGTTAAGATGACATATCATATAAATTTTAGCTTGCATACCTGAGCTGTAATATGCAGCTGTTAAGCCAACAGATGCTATACCTGCAGGGAAAATAAGAGGCTTATGGTTTTGGAGCAGTTCAAGGGAATATTCCATCACTGAAGTGTGAGAGCGCATGTCATATTTGAGTATGGGAACAACATTTGCACAAAAAACAAACTTACCAACAAGAAGAGACCACGAACGGATCCCCGGGGATCTCTTTAGGTGGAGCAGGGTGGAGCTCTGGTCTTCTACTGTCATGTATCCCATCTAAACAAAGACAAGAACCCAGCAGTTTAGAAACACTAAAAGCCAAATTTCCTGTAATAACACTCAATTAAAAAGGCCAGTTCACCCAAATCACATGACAAGTATTTATTTATAATATGGTAAAAATAAAGTATTTGTTATCAATCTTAAAAAGAAATATATTAAAAATACATAAGTTTGCACTTTGCTATGAGTAGAATAAAGTAATATCTACCTCTGAGATTGATTAGATCAGTTAAAGTGAATGGGTTTAAAATTACTAACAGTAATGTTTTTTTCTATAGCTGGAATTTAACTTTGCAAGGTCAAGCTGATAATTTCACAAGCGTAAAAAGGATTCCTACATGAAAAAGAAAAAGTGCAAAAACTTGCAAAACCTGCTTTACTCCATAATTTCACAGACTTTTCCTTTAAAGGAAGTGACTGTTTTAGGTGAACTCAATGTTTTAAAGAGCCACTGTAAAACATTCACGTCTGTGTTCATTTTCAAATCGCCATTATAATAAATCTGATAGGGCCAGAGCTCAGTGAAATGTAAACAACTCGTGAATCACCCTATGTATTTTCTGCACTTTTTTCAGTTTCAGCTTTTATATTTCGTATCTTTAAATTAAAATTAATCAAATCAAAACCCCAAAAGGAGCTATACCAGACCCGTGCTCTGCTTCAATACAATGCCCAGACAGCAAAGTAACAGCTGTTCAATAGGGACCAAGTCTTCACTTTTTTACCCCAGAGCCTCCCTTGCAAATCAGACAAGCTACGATTTGGATTACCTCAAAATAAACCAAGATGGTTTCTCAAAAATAATCCAGACATGTTGCTGTAAGCAGTGGATCTTTTGTTTGTTTGTTTGTTTGTTTGTTTTCTAACTGAAGAAATATCAAAGCTGAAATGTGTTTCATGGTCACACATTGATGTTTTAACATGTTTCAGTCCTCTGAGTGGCATAGACCTACCTGCTGCTGTACTGCTGTACAGGGGTGATGGCAAAATAAAACTCAAACTGTTCTCGTGGCTTGATCTACATATTTGTTCCATATATGTTTCTGATCAGACATACGGGGTTCTTTTTAACTGGATCTGAAAACACGAGACAAGAAAGATGCCCCTGCTGCTACTGCTGACCACGATCACTCAGCGTGACGTATACCAACAATCTCTGCAGAAGAGGTAAAGACACAGTAATATGAAATCTGTATTGCTTACCTTAAAATCGCCTTTTTTCTTATAAATTTTTGCCTTGTAGATTTAGGAAAGAAGAATGTGTGCAAGGAAACGCAACCGCTGAAATTATAAGGAAGTTCTATTCATATTATTGCAACAAAACAGTCCCGAAGGGGGAACACTTCCTTCCAGGAACAGGGCGAGCTTAACTTCATCACGCCTTCAAAATAAAAGCTTACTTTAAATTTTACATTTAAACATTAAATTTGCCTGCATACGCCTACCATAAGCAAGCAAGTAGTATATATGATTGTGTACTTAAATGTTTCAAACATAGTAACAATTTGAAAAGGCGTTCATAACTCGATAATAACCACACAGGTTTTCTTTTCAGAAATACCTAAACTGAGTTTTTATCAAAGCTGTTTCTATCACAATTGAATTTAGTGTGAAGTGAGGTAAGAAGACATCTTTCTACACACGAGCTTCCGGAGCAACTCGTACCCAGGTTGCGCATGCGCTCAGAGGTCGCCGGGGTACACAATGGAGTCGGACGACTGGCTTGGACACTAGAGGAGTCTCTTTGCTTTTGTAAGCGGCAGTTAGAGTATTATGAAATAACCGCAGAGGTTCGAGCCTGGCGGCCAACAGTGGCGGTAACGCCGTCCACAGACGAGTTTATCGGAAAACGAAGGGTGCTGAGTAACTGTCGAGTTCACCTGTATGTAGTCTTCTTTAGCACTGGCTGCTCTTCTACATTTTTCCAATGTCTTTGTCCGAAAGAGCAGTGAAATAAACCGTCCGGTGAGTTACCTTAAAATTCGACCTTGCAGCGTTAACACTGCGTCTGCCGCGCCGTTAAACCAGCATACACGCTTCGGTCCCACACAGGAATTAATGTAGAAAGGCCTGGACCGAAATAGCCTGTTTTCAAGTGGTATATTTAAGGGCAGCAAAACTAAAATACCAGGTAGCTTGTTAACGTGAGGCATGCTTAAGGATTTGGCTACTCTTATTTAAAGATATAAATATATTCACCCCAAACTAGATTTTTTTTTAAAGTGTTTTTGTATTATATGAAAGTAAGACTGTTTCTATACAACAAGCTAACTCTCTAGAGGTTTTAATAGCACGGTAGCTTCCAGCCCATACTTCTCGCGCTTCCCCTCACGCGCACGCAATCTGATGTAATGGACTTCGTGGCGGTTTCTGTTGGCTCTGTTTATATAATTAACCTGGGCAATTTGCGATGTAATGACAGAAGACTAGTTTGTGCTTGCACTCAGTTTCCCACCATTATAAAGCTGTTTTGTTTATGATAAAACGCCCGCCTGTGATAGGACGCTGGAAGCAGTCAGTGGAGGGTGGAGTTAATTAAACAGCAAAGAGTAGTCGCCTCTGCCTTCATTACAGGAAACCTTAGGCTGTGTGGAGCTGGGATGTTAATCTCTGTGTGTCTCTCTTAATTTAAAGATATAACTGCTGAGGAAAATGTCAGAGGTCAACATAGCCAAGCGCAAGGAGAAGTGCGAGAACTGCACCAAACAGGTATGATGATGGCTCTGTAGCACTACGCTGTCTCATAAATGGGTTGGTTGACTGCCTCTTTCTTGCTCTCAGTTCTGAGCTGAGTTTATCAATCTTTCTACACACAGTGCAATAAGAAGCAAAGCGAAGATGGGGCCAACTCAAACCAGGAAAGCGAAGAAGTCAATGGGCAGGTAGTATCTGCTTACCCAGTGCACTCTAGTCATTAATTGCTCTACATGAATCAGTCCTCATCATGTTCCCATGTTAAGCAGTTTTCATGCATGTGCATTTCATGTTTGGAGTTCACAGGGAGGATAAAGTCTAAAAAGTTACAGTTCTTTATTTCAGCATGATTCAGGTTAAGATGCTTTTAGCAGATAGTAGGCTTAAGGCAGGTAATAACTAGTACAGGAAGATGAAACGTAGCCCACTTCAAAGGTTGTTGGGGTGAAAAAAATATAATTTTTTCAGGTGAATGAAGGCTCCCAGCTTTTGTTGAGCGCATGCCTGTCCTGTGACGGCTGTCTGTCAGACGAGGACACCTTGAAGATCTCTCAGCAGGGTCTGGAGGAAGTGGAGCGAGTTCTGGCGCTGAATAAGGTACACTTCCTCTGAAACCAGGGAGTGTTTCTGCGCTGCCATGTTGCGCTTGCTAAACAACACCTTCCTCTGTCCCTGTCAGAAGTGTGATGTGTCGAAGCACAAGGTGCTGGTGGCGTCAGTGTGTCCGCAGTCTCTGCCTTTCTTTGCTATCAAGTTCGGTGTGGACATCACTGAAGCGGCCCACAAGCTCTGCGGCTTCCTCAAGCACATCGGTGATTTGAGTTTTTTTCTTTTATGAAATACGAAGTAGACTTCACCATAAGTTTCCTACTCTCTCCATTTTGTTTCTTTCTGTTGTTAGCTTGTTTTGTTATTTTAAAAAAAGCTACTTTATTTCTTTCTTTTTTTTTGGCCTTACTTCCCACTTTTCTGCTAAACAGACTTAAGTTTACCTTTCTGCAAGCAGGTGTGCACGGATTACCCGTACGCCCTGGTATTTATCATACATGTTCAACATTTCCCTGTTTGTTGTGTGCATTCTGCTTCGTCACTCTGGGTTTTCCCTGCAGGAGTGCAATATGTGTTTGACACCACTCTGGCAGCTGGCTTCAGCATCCTAGAGAGTCAAAAGGAGTTTATTCAGCGATATCGCAGGAGGCACCATGACTCCCACGCCCTGCCCATGTTCACCTCCTCCTGTCCAGGTAAACCGTCCTCTCTTCTTTCCCTTCCTCATACTCCCCCCACTCTTTACTGCTGCTTCTTCTTCTCCTCTTTTTTCCAAACCCCCACCCCATCGTACTGGTTTTCCTGTCAGTGTGATTATCATCTGTGCTGGTGTTTGCCTCAGTTTTAAGATTTCTTTGTTCTGCAAGTCCCCGGGCTCTTTCTTGAGTGAATTTTTGTGCGTGTGCTGAACCTGGGGTTTTAGAGGTGCAGATAGCAGAGAGCTGCTGGGGAAAGATAGGAAAGTCTTCCTGCACCACTCCCTTTATCAGAGATAGGACGCTAGAACGTTTTTGGTCTTTAATTGCGGCTATACACGTGCATGCAGACACCCAGGCATTCATCCTGTGGGGTCTAACACTGGCCATGGAGGAGGGCTTTGCTCGCCTCCAGGTGAGGAACGACCAGTAATACTTGTTACGTTCGGTATAGAAAGCTGGCTTATCATCATGAAAGAAATGTATTGGACTATGTGGATTTTTTCCTCTTATCTCTTGGTGTGTGTTTCTAAAATAAACAACTTCAATTCATGCACAGTAGGCTAAGGGTTATTTTAACATTGTGTGTTTACAGGGTGGATCCGCTATTCAGAGCGTGTTCTGGGCAGCCTGGTCACTCCTCATATCTGCACAGCCAGGTCTCCCCAACAGATCATGGGGTGTCTGGTCAAAGACTACTTCTCTAAACAGCAGGTAAGCATTGATCCACTGTGACAACTCACAGTCAAAGGTCTCAGGGTAATTGGAGGTCTTTCTACCACTTGTTTAAGTGTCTGTTGACAAATAAGGAAGGGTAAATAAATGAAAACTGATCTGTTGTATAGGCGTAAGAGTTAAATATAATAGAGGTAAGAGGTGATCAGCCTGATGGGGACTGATGGCTAACATTGATTGGCTAAAAGGTCTTCATGCTGCTCTAAATCTTTTTTCTATTAGAAAAGTCTCTAATAGGTTAAGACCGGGAACTTTGCTCACCCAACATGTGGTTCTAGGACTTGTTGTAGTTCAGGAAGTGCTTTACCAAAACAAGTTTCACCACTTCCGAGGCCCTGTGTTAAATTACCTCTAATTTAAGCTGTCACAAAATGCAGAAACGGAATGCATCAAATGAGCTAATGTTAATGAACCGCTCCTAAAATCTTAACAGCAGCTCAGCCAAAATATCCTGCAACAGAAATGAAGCCCGACAAATGTGTAACACCTCGCATTAAAGCTCTTTTATTAAACTGTCATTGAGGAAAAAGCAGAAGGTTAAAAAGAACATGCTTAGTTATTCATGATTGCTAGCTGGGATGTTTTGTTGGCATATTCAGTAGTGCCAGTAGCACTTGTAAATGCAACCAGATATAACTCCATTTATACATACAAAGATCATCCTTTTAAATGACTTGCGACCCACTAAAATAAGCCATAACAATGCAGGCAGATGACCCTGGCACTTGTCTCCATTGCTACATTTTCTTGTTATTTTGCTGTGGTCAACATGTTCCTGGGCTTCAACCTTTGGGCAGTGGGTGTGTGGCATCCAACCAATAGGTGCAGTGAGAACACATACAGAGTGGATCTATGCCATTACAATTTTTTTTATTTATTCTTTTTAATGATAACTGTCATTTTAAATTATACTAAAAAGAATAAATTTACCAAACGTGTAAAAATCACTGTGAGCCAAAAGGCTGTTCTAAATGTTCAGTATTTGATCACCTAATGAGACTACGTCGTCCCAAACCACACGTTCCATCTGAGTCAGTGTTTGTACTGTGCAAATTTTTCGAGGGAGATAATGATGTCTCAAACCTGAACAATCCAAGGCTAATGTCAGACTCAGTTCTGTATTTTATGAGAGAGAATCTCTCTTATTATTGTCTTTGTTGTGTTTTCTGTACTAGCAGAAGTTGAGTCCAGAGAAACTCTACCATGTGGTGGTGGCTCCCTGCTTTGATAAAAAGCTAGAAGCTGTCAGAGAAGAGTTCTACAACAGTATGCTGGAGACCAGGGATGTAGACTGCGTACTTACCTCAGGTAAGATTTCTAAAAAGACCATATTTGCAACCATAATAGAGTTTGTTAGACCCCTCTCTCTGGTTTCAGCAGAACACATTTACTGTCTAGAGGTGAATGTGAAACCTGAGGATTGTTTGTGCAGTGGAAAGGCTGAATTACTTGATATCCTTAAAAGGTTTCCTCCAAGAGTCTCGTCAAGTTGCTTTAAACAGCTACAATGTTCTGCAGAAAGGTCATAATGGATACTCAAATATAATCACTGTAATTATGCCAGCAGGATGCTGATCTGTTTTCTTTTGTTTTCTTGAGATTCAGCCATTTGTCTCTAGATCTATTTAAGATTAAGAGCAGCTGACCCAAGTATGACAGAGCATGTCAGAGTGAGCAACTGTGGGAGAGCTGCAGCTGTGGCTAAAAAAGAAATCTGCACTCGCACTCATTTGATGCACCTGCATGTACCAACTAACCAACCATGTTTCCTCTTCTTCACTTTCTTTGTTTCAACCAGAGTATCACTGCATGTATCATTGTAAAATGTGCACTTACTGGCCGCTTTATTAGGTATACCTTGCTAATACTTGGTTGAACCCCACTTACCTTCAGAAAAGCCTTAGTGGCATAGATGGACAGATTCAACAAAGTGCTGGAGGCATTCCTCTGAGGTTTAGGTTCATACTAGTATGATAGTGTTACACAGCTGCTGCACATCTATGATGTACCACATCATCAAGTGCTCTTCTGGATTAAGATCTGATGACTGTTGAGGTCATTTGAGTACAGTGAACTCAATGTTATGTTCAAGAAACCAGTTTGACATCAGTGCAACTGTGTGCATTATCCTGCTGGAAACAGCCACCAGAAGATGGGTACACTGTGGTCAGGCATGGATATGATGAGCAACTGTACTGTGGTTTTTAAACAGTGCTCAGCTGCAGTCCAAAGTGTGCCAAGAAAATATCACCAGTAACCCCACAACAGCAATAGTTCATACTAGGCAGCATGTTGTTTATGCCAAACCAGCTGAATGTCACAGCAGAAAATGACATATTCGAGTTACTGTTGCCTTCTTGTCAGCTCATAATATTCCGTTCATTTTCCTCTCACACGAACAAGCCATTGTGTTTTCTTTTTTACAAATACAAATTTTATTTGTCACATACACAGTTCAACATATAGTGAACATGCAGTGAAATGCTTGTGTCCTGAACTGCAAACAGGCTACAGACATAGCCGTGCCATGACAGGACCCTTACTGGATACCGGGTGGGAATTGAACTTGCGACCACCACTCCAGAAGTGTGTAGTCTTACCACTACACTTTCCAGCTTTTAAAACCTAGAGATGGTTGGGTGGAAAAACTTTAATCTGCAGTTTCTGAAATACTCAGATCAACAAAAATGCTGTTAAATTACTTAAAGAACCTTTCTCCCACATTCAGATGCTCACTTTGAACTTCAGCAGGTCGTACATAAGCCTTTAAACAGGTGTAGCTAATAAAGTGGCCAGTGAGTGTTGTAGTTGATAATGAAAGAGCACTGTCAAAGTAAGAGTCATGTTTCATGTTCCAGGGCAGATTTATTACCTGATGGAGCAGAGGAAGGTGTCGGTGGAGGAGCTGGACTCAGTTCCACTGGACCAAGTGTGAGTAGCTGGGATCATTGTTTTTAATCATGTAAACGATGACGTCAGTGCTATGTAGTTGGAGTGTTAATAAATTCTAGATTATTTTGAATGAGTTAATTTGCTGTTTACGTGTAAGATTCTACTTCAATGTGTAATGTTTACGTGACCGGATAAAACCTCTGAGCCTGTGTCAATGCAGCTTTGACTGTGACTGTAGGCTGGGAGACGGTGGAGACGTGGCGCTGATGAGACATGACGGCAGAGGCTCTGAAGGTTTCCTGGAACACGTGTTCAAACACGCTGCTAAAGAACTCTTTGGTGTGGATGTCCAGGAGATCACATACAAGACCCTCAGGTGAGAGACGGCCCAGTCGGCATAGTTGTTCTAATACCTCACGGTTGTGTCATTCTGGAGATGGTGTTAGGGTTTTAATCCATTTGTCCATCTGTTAATGTAAAATTATGACACTACTGTGGTTGTTTGTACGTTTGGCGCATCTGTTGATGCGCCGAAGGTGTTTTTTTTCCTTCTTCATTGTCAACTTTATGCACATCTGCTGCTTTTAATTTCCTTTCAATTCAATTATTAACAATGAGCAATGCAAAATTTGTTGTCACACCAACTTCACTGTGAGCTAACTTTGAACTAAGACTGACCCTGTGATCCTACACTCCCCACATTGCTGTGTCAACCTGTACTTAAGAGCTGCTAGTTTGTCTGTGTAAAGGTGAAAAACCAGTTTAAACAGCTTAGCAGTGTGATGTGGGTGTTTAAAACACGGCAGTGGCTGGGATTAGTTAAAGATCCCTTTTCTTTGATTATCTGTGTATCATCCCTTTGCTGGTGACTTTACAGGAATCGGGACTTCCAGGAAGTGACACTAGAGCGGGATGGTGAAACACTTCTGCAGTTTGCTGCTGTCTATGGTTTCAGGAACATCCAGACTCTGGTTCACCGTATGAGAAAGGGACGAGTCCCTTATCAGCTGGTGGAGGTGCTGTCCTGCCCCGGAGGTAACGCCCATCACGGCCCATGAGCTCAGACATGCTGCTGCCAGCTCTTTAAGATTTATGACCCTTAACATTCCTCCTATGTTTCCCTTCAGGGTGCTTGAGCGGCCGCGGTCAGGCTGAGAGTGAGGGAGGTGCAGGCCGGCTGGACAAAGCCTTGGTCAACCAGATGGAGGAGATCTACAGCAGCCTTCCAGTCCGGCTCCCAGAATTCAACCCTACCCTGCACACCCTCTATCAGGACTGGCTGGAGGGTCAGGACTCGTCACAGGCCAGAAAGTTGCTGCACACAGAGTACAGAGATCAGAGTCACGGCCACGCACAGCCCCCACACATGCAGTGGTGAGAAGAAAGGGAGCGTCTTCCTTTGAAGACATGAATGGACAGCTATTCGATTGTGCTTCTGCCTGGACCATCACATATTCTAAAAAACTGTGGATGACGCAGAATGACGGACCAGTGACTGACGTCTCAATAGATCATTCTTCCATTTAACCACAGGGGGGTGGTTAAATCTATTGTGCCGAGCCTGATGATATGTGAGGGGCAGAAAAACAAACACTTAGAAATGATACAGAGTGAATCAGTGAATGCAGTGAGGTGTTCTTAAACTGGCAAAAAACAAGATCAGCTGCTGTGCCAGCTGTTCTAATAAGTGACATCTGTAGCAAGTCTGAACCATCAGTCTGTCGAGTCACAGAGCAATAACCCCTTGAGAAAACAGAAGCTTTTATCACAACTGGAACTCATGAACCGAACCTGTGGATGCTGAATGTATATTTGATGAGTTTGAATCTTAGCTGTCCAGTATGAATCATGCAGTTTTCCATGCTAAAGTCATCTCCACTGTTCCTAGCTGAAAGACTGCGTGTTCTCTAACACAGTGATAACTATGCAACAGTGTCCTATTGAATCAGTCACAGTAAGTCTGATGCATTATTCAGATTATCCGTCCCAGAGGAAAGACACTCCTTCTATTTAAGGCTGCAAGAGGGTTTCATTTGTGTCACTGCTCCAGTTTCACAAACTAGTATTTTTATTAAGTTATGCATATTGTTTTACAAGATCAAACATTCATGTCCTATCTGAAGCACAAAAAGAAAAATGCTTCTCACAAATAAGTGACTTGTCTCATTCTGGTGCTGATGGTTTTTTGTTTTGGTCTTGGGACCTGGTCATAACATAAAGAGACGTCACTCTGGAAACTTTTAAACTTTTTTTTTTTTGGTCCTTTGAGAACCAAAAGATGCTGATCTCTCCAAACCAGGCTGATCACCAAATAATCTAGATAGAAAAACAGTACTACAGGTCACAGGAGAAATGTGTATAGTCTTAGTGGAAGCATAGAAGAACTAGAGAACAAGAAGGGACCAAAATTTGAGCCTTAGGAACTCCACAGACGAGAGGGAGCTCTAAAGAGGAGGCATCACTGATGATTGATGGCTGAAAATATTTAGATTTTCTGTGTTGTCATTAAGCGAACAAATGGATTAATCTTTGAATTTCTTCAAAATAAATATTAAAACTGGCAATTTAAAGAAAAAGGTTATGACACTGTTGAAATAACATGCATATTCACACTTATTATTGCTTATTATTTAGATCCAGGTTGTCTCTGAGTCAAAGGGAAATGGCTCATCTGACGTTTTCTCACCAACACCTGCCAAGTTGTTCAGTCTGTAGTCGCATCAAATTAAAGCAAAATATGAGATTTATTGTTTTCTTGGAGGGAGAAAAACACATTTGGTGGACATGTTTTTGATTTGTACAAGGAAACAAATCCGTTTTCACTCAGTCAAAAAGTCAATATTGCAAGCTTCAAAGAAGGAAAGATATTAACATAGTTAATTATCACAACAAAAAGCCAAACGTGCCTTTGATTTTTAATCCCCCTTGTTTTCAGTCAGCATCAGTAGCATAATTCAGATGAATACCATTTCTTAGAATCATCTAAAAAACACTTGTGGGGTGTTTTTAATCTTCAAAAAGTTTGTAAGAGTTTCACATCAGCACCATGTTTCTCCGGCAGCGCTGGTGTGTGGTTAAACCCCCCCCAAAAAAAACGGTATTTATAATCAGTGGTGTTACTCTGAGTCGTCCCCAGATGCTCTTAAAGCAACAAGCTCTCTAACAGGTGCGTGCTGCTGCTTCTTCATATTTTAACAAATGATAGACATGCATGAGGGTAACTGAGACCTGCTGATCCAAATTTACAAAAGCAAAACGTTGAGTCTAAAAAGTGAAATTGATTATTACGTCAAGCATTTTCCTTTCAGCCAGCCTATTTAAATCCTATTTGAATTAGTTTGATCTGACTGTTTAGACCAGCGGTCCCCAACCCCCGGGCCTCGGACCGGTACCGGGCCG